ATATACCAAATATCTCAATACGCGTATTACGCACACTGAGCAAATATCTCAAATATCTCAAATATCTCAGATATACCAAATATCTCAATACGCGTATTACGCATACTGAGCAAATATCTCAAATATCTCAGATATACCAAATATCTCAATACGCGTATTACGCATACTGAGCAAATATCGGAAACATCTGAGTAGGCTGGTCGATGGAAAATGGAACAGTCTAGGTTCTGGTGTTGATCTATTGAGCTGAATGAAGGTTACGCAGCGTAAGAGTATTAGAGCACATCTCTTTACACGCCTTTATTGCAAGTTTCACATGCAAATGGTGATAGTTCTTCGCAACGTCCAGTTGTTATTTCTATATGTAATATTTTTCTATGCAAAAATGTTAGGACATGCATACTTAACGTAACGCGACTTCAAGAGTGTGTCAGCTTGATAAGTCACAATTCCTATTCCTGACAATATCGTATGCGATCACAGCACATTTTTCTAAGAAAGGGGATGAGGGCAGGGTTAAAGAAAGAATACAGCAGTATAATAAAACATGAAATGTGATAAAACATAAGTGTAACGAAACATAAAAGTATAATAAAATAAGCATATGTCACCTGCTTACACCTTTCTAAGCCTCAGCTGAATCGGCACACTGTCTCTTAGTTCAGTATCGTTTCCGCAGAAGCCTAGTTTTTAATGTCATCGGCACAATTAAATTGCACAATTATTTTACGCGACTCATAAACGACACGTTTCTATAAATTCATCTTTTATTATCATGTGTTCTGATAATAAAAAATGGAAAGGTATAGTGTATGGCCCTTAAGGTCTAAGAAGAATCATTCAAAACCCTTCCAGTAACAGTATTCTTTCTTTTAGTTCTTCTAGTTATTATGGCTGGTAAAAGAGAGTTAGAAAATACTGGTGTCGTGGCGTTACACCAATCGGACTTCTGCCAGTGGTATAAGTGTCTCGACTTTATGCCAATGGATATAAAAAGAAATTTGTACACCAATATTGGTATAAACGAAAAACTCTTACACCATTGGTATAAGAGTCGAAAAAAAAAGAAGTATTGGCCTAAGTACACTAACACTTTCAAATGTGTGACTGATCACAGCGAAACTATTTGATATATAAGTTGTTCAGACTCCGTGCAGTGAAAAATCGATGCAGTACAATATATCAAATATTTTACAGCATTTAGAAAAAAACAGTTCATTTGCAGCTGAACTGATTAGATTGGTGCAAGAAAACGGATTTTTATGCCAATTGTATAACTCCTGTTTTATAGACCAATCTTGGTGTAAAAAATCAGTGTTTATGCCAACATTGGTGTAAACATTTTTTTCATATCCATTGGCATAAAATCGACACCCTTATACCGTTGGCATAAGTGCCATCGGCAGAAGTCCGATTGGTACGCCACGATTTCGAAAATACTAAAAATGGAGCTTTCGCCTATAACTGCACCAACACACAATCATTATTATTAATTAGGCATAAATCTTGTACGTAAAGTATATTTAAATTAGACTTTCTCATACCTTCTGCTTTTGTCAATTTGAGTTCATTGTTTTCTCATATAAATAAAAGTAGTCATTCATAGTCACTGACTACAGACATATAAATTGTAATCTTGGAATACGAGAAAATTGGGAAGAAAGACAAATTCGATCTCCTTCCTCTGTAAGCCAAAAGCCTATGTCGTATCGTGTTACGAACAATGCAAAGATACATGTGAAGTATGGTCTAACAGTAGCCGGTTGCTCAGGTGTAGTGATAACAACAACAACCACGGCGCCCTACTATCGCGGCTATAATTGTTCGTATCATTGTTGGAATCAAGGATTATCTTGTCACCTGTATAATATTCGTTCTACATCCGCTAATACTATCGGCAAGCCAATCAATATCAATATTCCTCTCAGTGTATACCCAATGGTCAAACACAAGCGCAATGCACTTCGTTATTCATAACCATCCTATGCACAAACAGAAGATACCGTTGTCAATGAAAATGTTGTAATGGAGGTGGATCGTGTATGTATGCAAGATCGGCACTGGTTTTTCAGGCGTATGCTCCCAATGATTGTGTATGCAAGCATGCAAGCGGGACTATATAACACCGTGTACAGATTATCCTTGGGGGTATATCGGCGGCGTATGCACTGATCGCGCCATGAGCCTTAGTAACCAAGGCTACTTATTCTATGTCGTTACACTTTTACATTTAATATTTGAGCTGAACTAATCTTTTTGTCATATATGCACAAGAAAACGACTTTAAGAGTTATATCGTTCCAGTTACTAGAAAAGTACGTAAAGAATCCTTAAGCTACACATTCGTATAAAGTAAGCGTAATTAGATGAACTCTACTGTCAAAACAGTCATGTGTAACCTTTGAGAAAGAAACACGCAGAAAAAAACGAACGACTTATTTCGCTCAACTATAATATGAATGCCAGTTAACCTTTAGATAGGGCAAATATTTCTTTGTCCAACCGTGTATATGTCTTCGTCAGTGCCGTCCGTATAACTCTTAAAGGGTAAGCTAGAAAGGACTGAAATTTCGGATCCGCATGTTTTCAACCACGAGCTTTCGTTTTAGGTAAGAAAAATGGACTGTTTGGTTTTTTTATTGAATGTTTCGAATGTCGAGTTGGCAGTCAACTGATGGACCCTCTCATAAGCAGATGTATCCTTGTACCAATGGCAAAATGACAGCAACATGTAATTAACAATCCTCATTTGTGAAAAAAAAGCTCTTGAGACAAAGATCTGTAATGTCTTTTGGCTAAAACGCTGCCAACACGCCCAATTTTTTGCAAGAATAATAAACAATCTGCAGGATGAAAAAATAATGCAAGAACTGAAGTTTTGAAAAAGAGAGATTTAAATTATATTTTAAGGAGTATAAGGTATATATAGAACCTGAATTATAATTTTCACTATTTTTAGCTGTTTTAGAATAAAATGTCTATGAAAGGGAAGCGAGATATCTCATCGTTTGGTTTCATTAGTAGTAAAAAGCAAAAGACTCCTGTAGAAAACGCTAAAGAAACTTGGGATATCTCAACCGTAGAGAACAGGAACGGTGACAGTTTTTTTAGCATGCGTGATAGTTCAACAAGCGTAACAATAGCAGATAAATCAATATTCACAAATTTAAAAAATGATATTGGTTCTCTTATTAAATCAAGACTTTCACTGGATGATGATATTCGATATTTATTGTTGAAAGATCATTTTATGCCCAGTGGAAATTCTAAGTGGCCATATTCAGAACGTAATACACACATGACGGTTGAAAAGCGCTATTTAAATCAAAAACATCTCAAAGATAATTCGTGACTAGTATTTTCCCCGTCAAGAAATGGTTTATTTTGCCTTCCTTGTGCCCATTTTACAACGGGAGGTGGTGGGAAAAGTCTGAACAGTGGGCGCGAGGCAGGACAGTTGCTATCTACTCCCTATCAGCAATACGCTCTTGTTCGTTTTGTTACTTCAAAGGTATCATTTAGTTTTTTTCATATAGAATTCGATTATGTAAATGTACGTGTTATATCGTTTGACAAAATGTCATTTTAGCTTCGCCATTTTCTTCTATTTACCGTTCGTCACTGATCAAATATCATACAAAGTAGAAATAATAGAGCATGAATTTGTAAATAAGATTTTTTCTTTGGTTTATATAAATATGAAAGATACTGTTATTTTCTTTGATATTAACCGAATAGATGCAGACATCTGTTGCAGAGTTATTTTATTTATTCCACTCTAACTGAGGCTAATCTTGATAACAGAAAAAAACAAAAGTAATTATATCCCTATCCAATGTATCAAAATCTACCTGCCTATACTTCGGACCTATCTAAACATCCATCTCCATATCACGATCCATCAACAGATCAAATATATCCTCATCAACCACTACATCCTGGACAAATATCTCTTCTTGCAATTCCTGCCTATCAACAGGTAAAACCAGTACCAGTTCTAACGCCAATTACGTCTAGTTTAAGGACGTTTTTTATTGTTGTTGGTTTGTTGTACCTTCTGTTAGGAACCATTAGCATTGGTTTAGAAAGCACTTTAATTGCAGTTGGTTATACAAGTTATTATCCTGGTTTTTGCGCAGGATGGGTTATTGATAGTACCGGCTTAACTATGCTAATAGCTTCGTGTACCGCATATTATAGAATGTCCGTTTTAACCATCTCTTTATTAATTACTCTTGTCCTATCCTGCGTTGCTGTTATCCTTTCTATTGCTAAGTTGGCAGTAGATGATTCATGTTATCAGAGTAAGCACAGATACTGTAATCTATCCGTGGGACGATCAATGGCGATCGGCATACTCGTAGTGTTTATAGTTGTAATAATACAAACAATTGTTAGTCTTATTGTTATATCATTTGCACGAAAACGAACCAGGATATCGTCACCACTGGAGTTAAACATCATAACCAAACCTTCGACGGGCACACAAGCTGCACTGTGATTGGAAAAACATTTCGCCATGTTTGCATTTCTTTTCCACATGAGAAATGTATAGCTTTTATTTGGTATACGTTGACTATATACAGATGCGTCACTTAAAAATTGAAGGATAAAGCAATTTAAAATCAATAACAACATTGACACAGCTTACATAAACCATAAGCGATCACATAGACTGCCGGCATTTGGTCTTACTTAGGTATTATTTCAAGGAAACCTCATGAAAAACTTTGACAGTGCCGATCGTACACAAACTTTATTTTTCACTTCACAGGATTTAAATCAGTGAGTGAAACGAGTTGTTATCAGAGTGGATTTTGAAAAGCACGCTTTAAGCTACGAAATAAGACATCTCTCAAATTTCTGTTACAATATTTGAAAGGAACATTGTAGAAATTTGAGAGATGTCTTATTTGGTAGCTTAAAGCGTGCTTTTAAAATCCATTCTGATAACAACTCGTTTCACTCAATCGTATTTGTGCTACAACTAAAATGCAGTAAACTAAAAATTAAAATCCATTTTTTTCGGGAATGCTGGTATTTCATTTATGGCGCAAGCACGATTCAGCAAACCGAGTTGATCTCAGAGTCGATTTTGAAAAGTACACTTTTAGGTATAAAACAAGACGTCTCTCAAATTTCTACGATGTTCCTTTCAAATTTTGTAACATAAACAAACAGAGTAAAACCGGTAACGCACTCAGGCTCCTGTACCAGAATTACGCGATTTAGCCGTGAAATAACTTCAGTCGTATCATCTTTCATTCCGTAGTTCTTTTCCTTCACAGCTACTTTCACTTTTCTGCACTCATTTTAAAAGTGTAAGGAATAAAACTGTTTGGAGAGAAAAAGTGAATGGAGCAAAACGTGTAAGTGAAAGTTACTTCGTGTTTGCAGTAGTGTGAAAACAAAACGATAACTAATACTTTTTTCTTTCGTTCTTTGCTTTGATAAGAAAATAATAAGTAACGATAAATAAAAACATCCAAACTGTAACGACTAACCGAAAAAAGATTATTGTACTTAGCTAAATTTCATCTGTAAGAGTGAGTTGCTGTGAAACTTAGAGACGAGGACGATGATAACTAATTTCAGATCTAGCTAGTTTTTATATGCATCGTAGGATATGATGAATCATGTAATAAAATATTGGTTATATTTGTCTTCGTATATTGTGGAATTTTAGTTTTCTCCTTGATTTGTTTATGAAAATACGTTTTTAGAAATTATTTATTTTCCATCGGAAAAGTTTTGTTTGAAATTCATTTATGTCATTCCAGAATGTCATTTCATGCAATCATTTACAAATTCAAAATCTACTTTGAAAAAAGCTTCTCCGCAAATAAAAATCATCGAAGAATAGCGTCACATAAGTGTTTTCTCCATCAAGTTGGAAGGCAGGAATAAAAGTACAACGAAACAGTTGAGATAACAATTGGTCATAAAGAACAAGCACGATTTCGGTAGTGTACTCAGTGGTATAATATTGGTGTGCATGACGCATAGAATAAATGCTTGGGATTTTTCAATTTGTTCTGCTCTTGAAATATAAAACCGAAACATGAAGAATTGTTGCTTTTGATGAATGAAAAAGTGAAAGAGAAATTTTGTTTGGTTCACTCAATTAAATTCATCACTGACAACGTTTAAGGTAACAACAACTTAACCTGTTTCCTTTTTCACACTCTGAAAAGCATTCGATGTCGCTTTTCTGATTCAAAAAAGAATGTTGAATTTTCTTTTGCTCCTTTTCTCTTCCTAAAACCAAATATAAAACCTAGTTGACTATTTTATATTCAAGCAAGTACATAGTTTTTGAACTAGAACTATCTTGCTTTAGTGCGCGTCTATGAGATCGTCGCTCAAGTTGGCGTCTGCTGAAAAGTAATATCCATGTTTCGACTCAGTTAGAAAGAGCAAAGACCAGTACACGTAGTTATAACATCTGTTGAGCATACCACTCTCCTCTCGAAAAGTAGTATTTATTCACTGCTTGGATCATGTGGCATGTTCTCCCTACCCAGTTATATAAAAGCTATTTGCAGCCCAAGATACTTTGCCGGTTAGTGCGCAAATACTCTGTAACGCAGTACAGTTGTTAAGGTAAATTAGCAAATATTAGTTCCATTGAAAAAGAACGATCGAAACTTTGGAAACAAGGCTTGTCAGGCACCCTCGTGGATAATTTTGCAAAATAATGACGAAAAACTCATCGTTTTTATGGCGATTAGTTCGTAAGATGTTACATGCAGAATTCAACAATGTATTTTTTAGTATCCCATCGCAAAAAAGTATTCAGTGCTTTTCTACTCGATCCCTCTACGCTCACCTCACCGTCACCGTCTCTAATATTTAGGAGGGGCCACTCTAAATGGAAGTAAGGTGCACGTAATTCGAAGTTTCCACACCATTCTATTTTTAATTTAAACACACATAGCTGGATAGTCCGGAAGCCAAGGATC